TTTGAATTTTCCCTCCCTAAGCTCTAAAACAGGGATGTCCAAACTATGGCCCTCCGGATGTTGAGGTAATGCAAGTCCCATGAGGCCTTGCAAGACTGACATCCACAGGCAAGACACCCAGAGGCAGAGGCATGATGGGACTTGTAGTACTTCAACAGCTGGAGGGCCATAGCTTGGGCACCCCTGCTCTAAAAGCTTTTTCTAGAGGTGGGGGAAGCAATAAAAATCCCATTCTGTGCAGCTCTGAACAGACCAAACTAAGCAATCCCTGCTCTTGTGATTACAATAGAAGCCCACAAACTAAATTTGTAATTCAGTAATGTTCTGTACCTCATCCAATGCAAAAAATACATCAAAGGACCTTACGCTTGGAAACAGGACAGAAATTGTGAACAAGAATGAATTTACACAGACATGCCATTAACCCCCCTGGAGATATTCCCAAGTGTAGCTCGGGTTAAAGTTTCAGCAACACAAGCAGTAACCCCGCGCTCTGGACTTATTTGTCCTTCACTCCCGCGATGTCCCCTCTGCAGCGTCCCCGACCATCTCCTCCGGCCAATGCCGGCATCTGTCTTCTGGGTTCCATTCCCTGTGACATCGGGACGTACGGGAGACGGAACTGGCGGGAAATTTAAAAATGTCAAAAAGTGACATTCACTAAACACACTAAAATCACATAGTATAACATTGCTGTTTCAATGCATTTCACATACATTTTGTCCCGAGTGCTTTGTCCTGCGCCCTGCCTGCATTTTTACTGTTCTTTCTGCCTGGAAACTTAGAAAAGTCCATGGCGTCCAAAAAGCGTCCCTTTAGGTCAAAAGTGGTTTTAGAACAGCGATAGTAAATCAGAACCACTTGCAGAATTGAGTGATAATGATTTGTGGGGAAATTCGTCATCAGACACTGAAAACGATATGGCGACTTTGCTCAGCGATGTGCGAACTTGGCGCTATATTTCAAATTTCAGTGTTTTTGGTTTGATTATATTATTGAATTAAATGTATTAATATTATATTATTATTTTTATGATTATTTATTAAATTATAATTTATGATTTCATGTTTAAAGTTTTATCATACCCGGGATGTTTAATAGACTCTTGGAAAGTTGTCCAGAAAATTTGGATGTTAAAGCAAATAAAACAAGTATCATGGACAGTACTTGCTTTTGTTCTAATGTCTAAGGTTTTCTAATGTGGGATGTGCTGTTCAGGGCAAGTCTGAACCTGATTACCCAATGAAAGACAATAGTTTTTTCAGGGATCCATATTGAAAAGTCCACATAGAATGGCTCCAATAAAAAAAGTAGCAAGCAGCTATGTCTAAGGATTGGTTCGCACCAGAAGTGGTGCGGCAAAAGCACATCTCACACTGCACTGAAATGCACTGCCGTTGTGATCTGCTGCAGATGCCAATGTATTGTTAACAACACGCAGTGCGTTTACGGGCACCAAATCACATGGTACCATAGTGCCATGCATTTTGGTGCGGCGTGTTTTTGAAAGTAGTGCATGCACTACTTTTTCTGCATTCGGGAGCAATTTGCAGCACATTCAATTGAATTGGCTGCAAAATTGCACCATACAGGAACATTCTGGAATAACATGGGTTCCTGTGCGATTCAGGTGTGGACTGGCCCTAAGGCCATTCAGGTAAAAATATGTCAGCTTTCCTGCAGGGCTGGGCCTTTAGTCTTACCTAGCTAATAAAATTTGCCAAATGGGGAAGTCCCTGTACTGGAACACAGCTCTGAATGCTGTAAATAGCTGATGCTATGTACAGTTTATACAGTACTGAAAACAGATGAAGCAATTTGTAAAGAAAATAATTTGTTTCGGCCATCTTGACCCAAACAAACTATTTAAAGTTAAAGTAAACCTGGAGTTGGAAAGTGGAAGTCCGGTCAAATACCAAGTAATTATAGACCTGTTAGTTAAACTTCTATAGTTGGGAAGATACTGGAGAGTTTAATAAAAGACCACATAGATGAGTTCTTGCTGGAAAAAAATGTTTTAAGCAACAGACAGCATGAATTCATGAAAGACAGAAGTTGTCAAACAAATCTGATTTCTTTTTATGAGGAGATGAGCAAAACCTTGGACAGAGGGGTGGTGGTGGACGTGGTATACTTGGACAGAGGGTGGCTGTGGATGTGGTATACTTGGACAGAGGGGTGGCGGTGGACGTGATATACTTGGACAGAGGGGTGGCGGTGGACGTGATATACTTGGACAGAGGGGTGGCGGTGGACGTGATATACTTGGACAGAGGGGTGGCGGTGGACGTAGTATACTTGGACAGAGGGGTGGCAGTGGATGTGGTATACTTGGACAGAGGGGTGGCGGTGGACGTGGTATACTTGGACAGAGGGGTGGCGGTGGACGTCATATGCTTGGATATTGCAAAAGTGTTTGACACAGTTCCCCACACACGGCTAATATGTAAGGTAAAGTCTTCAGGCTTGGAATAATCCGTATGTAAATGGATAGAAAACTGGCTAAAAGATTGTATACAGAGAGTAGTGGTTAATGATTCATACTCTGCATGGTCTAGAGTTGTCAGTGGTGTACCCCAAGGTTCAGTGTTGGGACCCTTATTTTTTAATATTTTTATAAACAATATAGGGTCTGGGATTATGAATCCCATTTCAGTCTTTGCAGATGACACCAAGCTGTGCAGTGGAATAACGTCCTTACAGGATGTCTCCAACTTACAAGTCGATCTCAATGCTCTGTGTAATTGGGCAACTATGTGGCAAATGCGGTTTAATGTTTGATAAATGTAAGGTTCTGCACTTTGGGGCTAAGAATATGCATGCATCATACATACTAGGGGGGGTACAACTGGGGGAATCAATGGTGGAGAAGGATCTGGGAGTTCAGGTAGATCACAAGCTTAATAATGGCATGCAATGCCAAGCTGCGGCTTCTAAAGCGAGCAAAATCCTCTCTTGTATTAAAAGAGGTATAGACTCCAGAGAGAGAGATATCATTTCCCCCGGTACAAATCATTAGTAATACCTCATCTGGAATATGCAGTTCAGTTTTTGGCACCAATTCACAAAAAGAACATTGGGGAACTGGAGAAAGTACAGAGAAGGGCAACCAAACTGATAAGAGGCATGGAGGAGCTCAGCTATGAGGAAAGATTAGAGGAACTGAATGTATTCTCTCTTGAGAAGAGGAGATTAAGGGGGGATATGATCTCCATGTATAATACATAAGGGGGGATATGATCACCATGTATAATACATAAGGGGGGGTATGATCTCCATGTATAATACATAAGGGGGATATGATCTCCATGTATAATACATAAGGGGGGGATATGATCTCCATGTATAAATACATAAGGGGGATATGATCTCCATGTATAATACATAAGGGGAATATGATCAGCATGTATAATACATAAGGGGGGATACGATCTCCATGTATAATATATAAGGGGGGATATGATCACCATGTATAATACATAAGGGGGGATATGATCTCCTTGTATAATACATAAGGGGGGATATGATCTCCATGTATAATACATAAGGGGGGATATGATCACCATGTATAATACATAAGGGGGGATATGATCTCCATGTATAATACATAAGGGGGGATATGATCTCCATGTATAATACATAAGGGGGGATATGATCACCATGTATAATACATAAGGGGGGATATGATCTCCATGTATAATACATAAGGGGGGGATATGATCTCCATGTATAATACATAAGGGGGGATATGATCACCATGTATAATACATAAGGGGGGATATGATCACCATGTATAATACATAAGGAGGGATATGATCTCCATGTATAATACATAAGGGGGGATATGATCTCCATGTATAATACATAAGGGGGGATATGATCTCCATGTATAATACATAAGGGGGGATATGATCTCCATGTATAATACATAAGGGGGGATATGATCTCCATGTATAATACATAAGGGGGATATGATCTCCATGTATAATACATAAGGGGGGGATATGATCTCCATGTATAATACATAAGGGGGGATATGATCTCCATGTATAATACATAAGGGGGATATGATCACCATGTATAATACATAAGGGGGGATATGATCTCCATGTATAATACATAAGGGGGGGATATGATCACCATGTATAATACATAAGGGGGATATGATCTCCATGTATAATACATCAGTGGTTCATATAGTGAACTCGGTGTAGAGTTATTCACCCTGAGGTCAACACAGGGGCACTCCTTACATCTGGAGCAAAGGAAATTTAATTTCTAAACACGGAAAGGTTTCTTCACAGTGAGAGCTGTGAAAATGTGGAATAGACTCCCTCAAGAGTTGGTTCTGGCCAGCTCAGTGAATTGCTTTAAAAAAGTCCTGGATTCTTTCTTGGATACACAGAATATAACTGGATACTAACATTTATAGGTAAAGTTGATCCAGGGAATATCTGATTGCCTCTCGGGGGATCAGGAAGGAATTTTTTCCCCTGCAGGAGCATGGATCATGTGTTGCTGTCTTTTTTGTCTTCCTCTGGATCAACTGTGGGTATAGGATTATAACTTTTTTTATGGTTCAACTGGATGGACTTTTGTCTTTTTTCAGCCAGACTAACTATGTGACTATGTAATAATATTTATGCTGAAACCTGCATCCACCCCCAGTCTAAGCCCTCTGCTAACTAGCCTGTAGAGGAAAGATGTGTAGATTGTACACCCCTTGAGGGATAGAGACTGATGTGAATGTATAATATATATGTAAAGCGCTGCGTAAATGGACGGCGCTATATAAGTACCTGAAATAAATAAATATTTAACTTTTTCCTTGGGTGCTACAGGCCTGTCATGTGATCTCCCCAGCAGCCGGCTTCAGTGAATAGGATAGATCACCGACAATGACTGCAATGCCTGAACGGTGATGGCACCCATAGACTTACTATGGGGCTTCTGCTGCCGGCTGTTTCTCCTCTCCCCCAAAGCTGGCTTTTCATGTGATCAGACTGGAGCACCGAGAGAATAGATAAGTATAGACAGCTTTCATCTACAGGCTAGTTACCGTATTTTTCGCTCCATAAGACGCACCTGACCATAAGACGCAACTAGGTTTTAGAGGCAGAAAACAGGAAAAAAATATTCTGAACCAATGGACTACAGACATTATACAGGAGATGACCAGAGACTGCGGACATAGTACAGGAGATGACCAGAGACTGCGGACATAGTACAGGAGATGACCAGAGACTGCGGACACAGTACAGGAGATGACCAGAGACTGCGGACACAGTACAGGAGATGACCAGAGACTGCGGACTAGTACAGGAGATGACCAGAGACTGCGGACAGTACAGGGGATGACCAGAGACTGCGGACACAGTACAGGAGATGAGCAGAGACTGTGGACAGTACAGGAGATGACCAGAGACTGCAGACAGCACAGGAGATGACCAGAGACTGCGGACATAGTACAAGAGATGACCAGAGACTGCAGACAGTACAGGGGATGACCAGAGACTGCGGACATAGTACAGGAGATGACCAGAGACTGCGGACAGTACAAGAGATGACCAGAGACTGCGGACATAGTACAGGGGATGACCAGAGACTGCGGACAGTACAAGAGATGACCAGAGACTGCGGACAGTACAGGAGATGACCAGAGACTGTGGACAGTACAGGAGACGACCAGAGACTGTGGACATAGTACAGGAGATGACCCAGAGACTGTGGACAGTACAGGAGATGACCAGAGACTGTGGACACAGTACAGGAGATGACCAGAGACTGTGGACAGTACAGGAGATGACTGCTGACCTTTGGGGAGGGGGGGAGCGGGTACCTGAATTTGACAGGTACCCGCTCTTACTTCCGCGGAGTTGTTCTTTGGTTAGTGTCAGCTCTGCAGCGGGACCTTACCTGTTCCTCTATCCAGTGGCGCGCTGTCTTCCCGGCTTCTGTAATGGCGCTCGCCAGTGCACATGGGCGAGAAGCACTTGCGTTTTGTGATTGGTCCGGTGGCTTCTGGGATCTGTCATGTGTCCCAGGTCCTGCCTTACCATTCACAAACAGCACCGCTTCTCGCTCATGCACACTTGGCACCCGGCTGTCATGCCCAGCGCCCACACTACAGAAGCCGGGAAGACAGCGCACCGCTGGATAGAGGAACAGGTAAGGTCCCGCTGCAGAGCTGAGCGGCCGGCCCGGTATTCTGACATGGCAGCGGTGGAAATACCGGACCCGCCGCTCCATATTCGCTCCATAAGACGCACTGATATTTCCCCCCCTTTTTTTGGGGAAAAAAGTGCGTCTTATAGAGCGAAAAATAAAATACGGTAGTATATGGCTTAGAATCTAGGTGGGAGCAGGTTTAAGACTGGACTACTACTTTAACCACTTGCCCTCCAGATGGTGTTACCCCCTTCATGACCAGGCCATTTTTTTGCTATTCAGCACTGTGCTACTTTAACTGGCAATTACTTAGTCATGCAACACCTTACCCAAATTAAATTTGTATAATTTTTTTCACACTTCCTTTTTGGTAATATTTGATCACCACTGGGTTTTTTAAATTTTTTTAAATATTTTTTCATAAATTTAGGGCAAAATGTATTCTGCTGTATGACTTTGATAGGAAAAAAAAAAATCCCAACAAGTGTATATTAATTGGTTTGTGTGAAATTTATAATGTCCACAAACCATGGTATACAGTATATTTGAGTATTGATCTGTACAGATGCACTGATGGCCTATCTAATTTCTTGACGCCCTTAAAATTCCAGGACAGAGCAAATACCCCCCAAATGACCCCTTTTTGTAAATTACAGTCTGAGTTATATAGTAAGAGCCATGGTGAATTTTTTAAAGTTGTATTATTTGTCGCAATTATTTTCAAAATTAAGAAATTAAATAAACTCGTTCTTTTTCTTCAAAAATTTGTTTTTTTACATACTGTGGTCAGCGCAATATAATGTCATCACTTCACTGGCATGGCAGTGATTGGGAATATTGACTGGTGACAGTATGTTAAAAAAAATTTAAAACATTTTTATTCTATTCTTTTAAACTTTTTTTCTTTTTTTTATTATTTAAACTTTTTTTTTACATACGGTCATCAGAGAATGTTTTGAACTGTCATGAAAGGGTTACATTCATAACAATTGTGTTTACTATTGTGTGCTTTGCTTGGTCCAGCTATCACATGGTATAGGGTGCTGTGATTGGCCCAAGTACCATGAGATAGCTGTGGGCCAATCACCGCATCACTACAGGAATAACAGCTGATTTAAATGAAATTCATAACAGCTCTGTTGACATTTTCACAGGTAAGTTGCTTGGCCTACTCTTACCACCAGCCTGCAATACACGTAATGTGGGTAGTCCGGAACTGGTGAAAGCAAAACTTCACTCTCTCAATTACCACTGACTATTTTTAATCCTTACACTGCTAGCATTAATAGATATATATAGGAAAAAATATTTACTGGTTTTAAACTTTTTTTTTTACATTTCTTTCTCAGCTAAGAATACCCTCCTGCATGCATGTCTGAGCTTAGGGAAGATGGATTCCAGAAGTAAATGATACATGAACCATCTGCCAGAAATGCTAGGAGGGAGTTTTTCATAGTGATTTCTCAGTAAAATAAAGCATGGAAACATGGATGGATGGGGGAGTTTGCTTTGAATATTAACCTCCCTGGCGGTATTCCCGAGTGTAGCTCGGGTAAAGTTTCAGCACCTCAAGCGGTAACCCTGAGCTACACTCGGGCTTACAATGCAGCGCTGCTCCAGGTTCCCAGTATCATTTACCTTGTCCTGCACTCCCGTGATGTCCCTCCTGCAGTGTCCCCGGCAATGTCCTCTGGCCGATGCCAGCATCTGTCTTCCGGGTTCCGCTCTCTGCGACGTCAGGACGTATGGGGACGGAATTGGCGGCAAATTTGAAAATGGCAAAAAGTGACATTCACTAAATACACTAAAATTACATAGTATAACATTCCTGTATCAAACCATTTCACATACATTTTGTCCCGAGTGCTTTGTCCGGCGCCCTGCCTGCATTTTTACTGTTCTTTCTGCCTGGAAACTGAGAAACTGATTATGGGTACTGATAGACGGCACTGACTGGCATCACTGCTGGGCACTGACTGGCGGCACTGACTGGCACAACCCCTGGGCACTGACTGGTGGCACTGACTGGTGGCACTGACTGGCAGCACTGCTGGGCTGCACTGGTGGGTGGCACTGGTGGGCAGCACTGGTGGGTGGGCACAGGTGGGTGGCACTGGTGGGCACAGGTGGGTGGGCACAGGTGGGTGGCACTGCTGGGCACATGTAGATGGCACTTCTGGGCACAGGTAGGTGGCATTGCAGAGTGGCACAGGTGGGTGCACTGCTGGGCACAGGTGGGGGGCACTGCTGGGCACAGGTGGGTGCACTGCTGGGCACGGGTGGGCGGAGCTAGTGGGCGCACTGCTGTTAACTATTTGATCACCCCAGATGTTAACCCCCTTCCTGCCCAGTACCATTAGTACAGTGTCAGCGCTTTTTTTTTTAGCACTGATCACTGTATTGGTGTCACTGATTGATGTCAGTGATACCAAGTCAGTTCCCCTCCAGTGTCAGAATGCCCGCCGCAGTCCTGCAGTCCCGCTATAAGTCACTGATCGTCTCCATTACTAGTAAAAATTACAAAATCCCAGTATATATACCGCCATTTGTAGACGCTATAACTAATATCAGTGTGCTTACAGTGAAGCACCCCCCCTAGTAAAACACTTCCATCACACAGTTAACCCTTTGATTGCCTCTCATTGTTAACCCCTTCGTCCCCAGTGCCATTAGTACAGTGTCAGTGCTTTTTTTTAGCACTGATCACTGTATTGGTGTCACTGATTGATGTCAGTGATACCAAGTCAGTTCCCCCTCCCCCGGAGTCAGAATGTCCGCTGCAGTCCCACCGTAAGTCATTGATTGCCGCTATTATTAGTATAAAATAGGGTGGCACAGTGGCTTAGTGGTTAGCACGTCTGTCTTGCAGTAAATGGGTCATGGGTTTTATTCTCGACCATGGCGCCTCCTGCATGGAGTTTTCATGTTCTCCCCTGTGCTTGCGTGGGTTTCCTCCGGGTACTCCAGTTTCCCTCCACACTCCAAAGACATGCTGGTAGGTTAATTGGATCCTGTCTAAATTGTCCATAGTATGTGTATGTATGAATGTGAGTTAGGGACCTTAGATTGTACACCCCTTGAGGGTTAGGGACTTATGTGAATGTACAATATATATATGTAATGCACTGCATAAATTGACAGCACTATATAAGTACCTGAAATAAATAAAAATAAAAAAAAAATCCCAGTATCTATACCGCCATTTGTAAACGCTATGACTTTCACATAAACCAAATAATTTACATATATTGTGGGTTTTTTTCAGCAAAGACATGTCGCAGAATACATTTTGGCCTACATTTATGATGATGAAATTGTATTTATTTATTTTTTTTTACCGGACTGTTTAATAGCAAAATTTTCGGACTTTTTTTTTTATAGCACAAAAATTTTAAAATGCACAGGCGATAAAATACCACTGAAAGCTCAGTTTGTGGGAAAAAAAAGGACGTAAACAGGGACAGACTGACAACTCATGGGGCCCCCGGGCAATAGGGGATCATGGGGCCCCTGCTTCTTGCCCACGCTCAAAAAAAGCCTATAAAAGGTACCAGGGGCATTTCATGGGGCCCCCTACTGACCCCGGGCCCTCGGGCAGTGCCTGAGTATTCGAATGGTCAGTCCGCCCCTGGACGTAAATTTAATTTGGGTGCGGTGTTGCATGACAGAGCAATTGTCAGTTAAAGTAATGTAGCGCCGTAACGCAAAAAATGGCCCGGTCAGGAAGGGGGGTAAATCCTCTGGAGGGCGAGTGGCAGGGGGCATTTCATTTGTTGTTTACCTGTTGTCATGTTTTGTGTTATGATTGTGCCATTCTGTTATGATCTACAATTGAATAGGAATTCCATCAGACATACAAGAAATGTGTTTTTGTCGGCTCACTCATGTTTTGTTTAAAAATGATACATCCTGTATATTACCAATTCTCCAAGGGGATGCAAACTTTTGAGCAGAACTATATACATTATATACACACAGTATATATATATGGAACTTAAAGCCTTTGATGCATTCTGTGCTTCCTTATCACAAAGTACAAGCTGTCATTTCTGAGCTGATGTCACTATGAGCCATTCTCTCACTCACAATGTAATGCTATTTTTGAAAGCCATGTTGCTTTGGCAACCTGCTTGAGTGGGAAAAAAAAAGCAAAAAAAAAAGCAGGTAACATTTCTTTTTCATGCTGTAATGAAGACAGCGATCAAAGCTCTGCCTGTGCTTCCTAATAAAGGACTTTTACTGACATCTACATATACCGGATCTCCGTTTTGTTGTATTTTTTTCCAAAAAGTTGGAAAACTCAACCTCCTTTTTTTTTTTTTAAACTATGATTCAAGCTTAAACATTTTTAGTTAGCTTTTAGATGAGGAA